AAAAAAAAAAAAAGAAAAAATCAGCACAGTTTAGCAAAATAATGAATAAACACATCAAAAATATGACCTGAGGGCTGGCCAGTTGGCTCAGTTAGTTACAGCATCATGTTATAACACTAAGGTCAAAAAAGAAAAAAATAATCTGAGCTGAGGGCCCCTTTTTTAAGAGATCTGCATTCCTACATTCCACTCGTAAACACAAATTTTGCTTTTTAATGGTAGTGCAAGTAGAGACCTTCAGTCCTGAACTCTATACTTCATCCTTCAGAAAAGCCCATAAGGAAAAAGCAATCCACCCCCTCAACATACCTGAAGGTCCCTTTGAGCAGTTTTGCCCTCTGGAAAAGACTTGTTGGGGCCATAGCCAAATATCTGGTTTCCTGGCAGCCTATGATCCACATCACAGTACTCCATGCTTCTATAATCAGTGTCTTGCCGGCCAAGAAAGTCCAGACCACCTTCTTCTTTAAACAGACCGGCATCTGAACTCTGTTGTTCACCTCCAGAAAGCCGTGACTTGTCTTGGTCTTGAATTGGACTCTGGCTGTTCTGAAAGTCTGATGGAGACTCATGTTCAAAAGCTATACCTTGTGTTTCTTCTCTTGTTTCTGAACGCTCAAATTCTCCTTTCTGAATGCCAAAAGCAGGCCTTTCTATCGTGTGGTCATGTGTAGATTCTTCTCTCTTGTTTACATTCATCCCAGAGTGTTCTCTATCTTGTGTAGAGGGCTGATTGTAATCCAAAACACTTGGATCCACAGGGGGCATCTCCCTATCTTTAAATTCCATACAAGGTCCCACCTCTCTGCCCCTAAAATCCTGATCAGTCCTGGACCGATGTCTACCTCTGAAATCTGAATGTGGTGTACCCCTGTCCCTAAAGTCTAGATCAGTAGTACCTGAACCTCGGCCTCTAAAGTCCACCTGTGTTCCGTCCTTGTCCCTGAAGTCCAAATCAGATACATCTCTACTCCTAAAATCAGAACGGGACTGATCTCTGGCCCTGAAATCCAAATCTGATAAATCTCTTCCCCTAAATTCTGCATGAGATCCATCCCGACCTCTAAAATCTAAATCATAAGTGCCCCGACCCCTGAAGTCAGATGGAGGAGCATCCCTTCCTCTGAAATCAATGGTGTGAACATCCCTATCTCTGTAGTTTATATGAACTGTCTCTCTACCTCTATAATCCACAGAAGTACCATCTCCACCCCTATAGTCCATAGGTGGTCCTTCTCTATCCCGAAAATCCCCAGAATGTATGTCCCTACCCCTGAAGTCCAAATGTGATGAATCTCTGCTCTGGAAATCAGAAGATGAAAAATCTCCCCCTCTGAAATCATGTCCATGTCCCTCCCCTCCTCGATAGTCACCATGCGGTCCATCTCTAGCTCCATAGCTGAAAGAATGCTCCTCTACATTTGCAAAAGGAGGCCCCGAATGCCCCTGGAAATCAAAGGGAAGTGAATCTCTGCCAGGATAGTTGCCAGAGTGTCTCTCTTGAGCATGACTCTTAAGGGGAGGAGGATAATCCCTGTTCCACCCGGGAGCAAACCTTTCTTCTTGGCTCCCACTGTAGAAACAAAGACAGTGTTATTCATATTGTCCAGAGAGTTTGAAATCTACACACCAGCATATTCTTCTCTAATCACAGCACATTCTTCTGTAAACATTTTTTTTTTTGGCAGAGTTCTGTAACAATGTCCTAGATCTGCAGAAAACAGCAAAGTTTTGCTATTTTAAGACGAAGTGGCGGAGTAAACTTTTATGCTCCCATTTCAGAACACGAGGAAAGTCAACACAAGGTTTTCAACATGACTGCTGCAGAAAAAGCTTTCACCCAGTCCTGCAACAGGGAAAATCCGCAATACCAGATAAGCTAACATGGTGACACGCTACAAAAATTTCCATTACCAAAAGCCAGGGAACTTAGAATTCCAAGGTCAACATGATGATTCCTATACATCAGAAAAATCAATGCACTATAAATTTATTACAGTAAGTTTTAGGTGTCTTTCTCATTCCTGTATCCAGAGGTAACATTCCAAAATATTTTATTACAGCTACTGCATGGACACCACACAATCAAAATGGATAGGCCCAGTAGGAAGAAACACTGGTTGTAAATTACCAGTGGGAGCCCACCAGTGTTCACCAGCTAAGTAAGCATCAGCCCTAGCTGCATCTAAATGCCAGTTCTACAGTGGTTCTGCCTAGAAGCGCTCTCACCTGGGTCCTATTATTACAACTACCCAAGGGTACCACACGAAGCAGCATGAATCATGCCACAAAGTATGTGTAAATCTTCTAAGCCAAACAACAGTATCCAGGAGCGCATATGGCTGAAAATGATCTAGAGACAGAAGAGCATTAGGCCTTCATGCATTATCCCCATGCCCCAAATGAAACAGCTGATATTCCAAATTCCAATGCCTCATGCTAATTTTTCATAGTCATACAATGTATTTTAAAAATATGTATAGTATTAAATTAACACTCTAAGTTTACAGAACTCAAGAGATAAATGAGAGCCATCCCAATCTTTCATACCACCCAACTTCTTCCCTTTGCCTAACCTCCACAGCATTTTACATGTTTTGACTTTGGTCAAAGATTAGGGAATTTAAGTAGGTGATTAGGCTCCTGGGATCCTGGGTGGGGAAACATGAAAAAGAAAACATGAAAAGATCTGAAGAATTATCTGCTGCTTAGCAGTAAAACAAAAGCATTAAGAGATCAAGACCAACTCAGTTCTCTCCTCCCAGAACACAGAGGTTCTATTGTTATAAGACCCTTGTGAGCTGAGACTACGCCACTACAGTAAAATTCAAAGGACGACTAATTCCGGGTCATTCAGTTCAAGAAAACGGTTACAATGCCATACCTTTTCTTAAAGTAATAGGAATTTAGCAATTAACCTAAAATCTAAAATGATGTACATTTAATGGATTTTCAGAACATGATGACTTCCCACTGGCTCCCATTAACATTAGTTATATTTATGTGGTTCATCATAAGAGGAGCAAGTTTAAGTGTTCTTCATAAGTAATACAATTTAACACTAAAATTATGATGTTACCAGTAACTATAGTGTCTCCCACATTTAAAATCATTTAAGTCCTAGTAGTTAGCTTGCAGGAAGACTTACACCTCATCAGACACTCAAAGGATGAGTTCTAAGGTATATAAATCTACATATTTTCTAACCAAAACACATCCAACATTACTGATCCAGACTAACCTACTGTACTATGGTTCTTAGATCTGTATTTTATGCAGATTAATCAAGAAACAGTTCTATTAATACAAAATAGCAGTGGCTATGAAATTATTTTCAACAAAATAAAAACAAATTTTATTTTTTTATTTTTATTTTTATTTTTTTTAAAAGATGACCGGTAAGGGGATCTTAACCCTTGACTTGGTGTTGTCAGCACCACGCTCACCCAGTGAGCTAACCGGCCATCCCCATATGGGATCTGATCCCGCGACCTTGGTGTTATCAGCACCACACTCTCCCGAGTGAGCCATGGGCCGGCCCTAAAAACAAATTTTAGAAGAAAAACTGTTCAAAGGACAAACAAAATGATTTCCCTTCAAGGTACCTTTTTTTGGTCCAAATCAGTCCCCCAAAAAAGAATCTTATATAAACTGTCTCCCTTTTGGTCAAAGATCTCGAAAAATAACATGTAATGACTTACATTTAAATTAAAATTAAGGTGGGGAAATATAAACTTAAATTTAAATGGGTCAAAGAAAAAAATATTCTGAAAACAGAAAAAAAGTTATGCAAAAGAGTTAACATTTCTGAATGCTTACTTAACCCATCTTAAATTAATTCTATAAGAAACAGCCTTAATTACAAAATAATTATCCATAAAGAAAAGTAATAAGAAGATAGATTACAATATAAATATTTAAAAATGCCAAAGTACAAGCCCATTGATCTAGACTAGGGATCTGCAAACTTTTTCCACAAAGAGCCAGATAGTAAATATATCGGACTTTGTAAGTTATACAGTCTCTGTCATAACTATTCAACTCTGCCATTGTAGCATGAAAGCAACCACAGATAATGTGTGAAGGAATGAGTGTGGCTGTGTCCCAAGAAAACCTTATTTACAAAAGCAGGCTATAGGCTATAGTTTGCTGACCACTGATCTAGACCTTAGTATTTTTTTTAAAAAAGATGAATAGTAAGGGGATCTTAACCCTTGACTTGGTGTTGGCAGCACCATGCTCAACCAGTTAGTGAACCGGCCATCCCTATACAGGATCCGAACCCGTGGCCTTGGTGTTCTCAGTACCACACTCTCCTGAGTGAGCCATGGGCCGGCCCTTAGACCTTAGTATTTTGAAAGAAAAAATATACCCAGCCTCGCCACCATTGCTTTAGTTTCAATACCCCTATTATTTAGCATTTATGAAACACCAGTTATACTAAACATTATGTGGATTTTATAAACTCTATTCTCTACCTAAATTTTTCACTGAAACCTAAGCTTCAGAATAATGAATGAGAACACCTGTTGAATTTAAACAATAATCTTACAGACTGCTGATCCAAATGAAAATTTACTAATAATAGAAGTTTCAACTGCAGCATCAATAATTTTGAAGGCATAAATTTAAAGGTCATATTTCTTGGGCCAGCCCATGGCTCACTTGGGAGAGCATGGTGCTGACAATACCAAGTCAAGGGTTAAGATCCCCTTACCGGTCATCTTAAAAAAAAAAAAAAATAAAAGATTTGAGGATATTTTTAATGTTTAAAAAACTGTTGGGGGGCCGGCCTGTGGCTCACTTGGGAGAGTGTGTTACTGATAACACCAAGGCCACAGGTTCAGATCCTATATAGGGATGGCCGGTTAGCTCACTTGGGAGAGCGTGGTGCTGACAACACCAAGTCAAGGGTTAAGATCCCCTTACCGGTCATTTTTGAAAGAAAAAGAAATAAAAGATTTGAGGATATTTTTAATGTTTAAAAAACTGTTGGGGGGCCGGCCTGTGGCTCACTTGGGAGAGTGTGGTACTGATAACACCAAGGCCACGGGTTCAGATCCCTATAGAGTGATGGCCAGTTAGCTCATTTGGAAGAGCATGGTGCTGACACCAAGTTAAGGGTTAAGATCGCCTTACTGGTCATCTTTAAAAAAAAGATAAAGTAAAATAAAAAACTGTTGGGCTGGCCGGTTATTAGCTCAGTTGGTTAGAGCATGGGGTTGACAACACCAAGGTCCAGGGTTGGATCCCTGTTACCGGCCAACTGCAGATAAATAAATAAATAAATAAATAATAAAATAAATAATAAAATACTTGGCATGCTGCATATTGCATCTCACAATCACTTTAGAAATGACTAAAAACTTTTTAAATAGTTGTTTTTTAAAAATCAGAACTACTTCTACACACAAAAAATACCTCCTTTTATGATAGTTAAAAATGTTGTACTATATATTTATCACTACAATATTGACTTTTCAATATTCAAATTTCAGGACTTACCGAAAAGGTCCTGTTCTGTTAGCAGATCGAGAATCCCCCCACATCTCTTTCTATGTCAAGAGGGCCACGATAAGTAGATCCTTTTTCTACTAAACTTTGGTTATAGCAGTACCTGTGCAAAACAAACCACAAAAAATAAGTACTATAGAACTTGAAGTAAAGGCTAAACTAGTTTCTCCCTGCTAAATTTATCAGAAACCACATCAGCAGGGATATTTCTGGAGGTCACTTTTAATCGTTTACATATTATAACAAGAAAAATACATTTTTAACTAAAAACGTATGCTCTGGGACATCATAAACTTTTCAATGTACTAAGAATGCTGCATATTTACTAAGTTAAATAAGTGTTAACTAATTTTTCCAGCACCCATTTGCCCTTGCTTTTTGGAAACAGCATTTTAACATTTAACCCCATTCTCAGTCCATGTGGCTGATCCTACACCATTCAGCCTGGCCAATCAGAATAGTCTATTACCCTCATCACAGTGATGGCTTCGAATATGGGAATATAACCCAAGACAAGCTGAGAAATTATCTCCAGCAACTTTGTTGCAGCTACTGAAAAAGAGGCCACATTTTCATGACCTTAGATTGGCAATGGTTTCTAAAATATGACACCAAAAGCACAAAGAACAAAAAAATAAACAGGTAAAGTGGGCTTCATCAAAATTAAAAACTTGCGTATAAAAGGATATTAGCAAGAGAGTGAAAAGACAACCCACAGGTCACCAAAATGGCAGACTAGAAAGTTCTATGGTCTCATTCCTCCACAGAAACTTCAAAAAACAAGCAGTACTGTCTGAATCAACTATGTCGGAACTTTACAAAATAGTCAAAGGTTTACAGCAAATAAGCAAGTGTCTAATCAAGAAAAAGCCATCTTCAAAACAGTAGGAAGGTTTCATGGTGTTTTTACTCACTCTTGCCTTACCTGCTCTCCAGGTGGCAGCAGTTTTGATCTTGAAGCAGTGGCAGCCCAATTCCCAACTCCCTCCCCCTAAGAGCAGTGCAGACCTCATTTGCAAATTATTGTGTATATCCGTTCTTCCCTGTCTGGGAGTATCTGAAGAACTGACACAAGATGCTTGTCTCTATTTCACCTAACTCAAAACTCAGGCAGGAAAAGCAGTAGGCACTGCTAATGAAAGCTGCAATGCAGACTATAGACTCATAGACACCTGGGGCAAGACATTATGGGTAAAGGCCCAGAGAAAAAGCTGGGAAGAAACTCTTTGGGAAATTAGGACACTCCAAAGCAGCATTTCTAAATGGAGAAATATATAAAGCCACACACATGCCCAGGCAAGACATATGATCATACAAGACCTGTGAACACCATAAGCTTTCACCTCAGGCTGACTGCTAGGCTCAGAGCAAGCCTCAGTGTTGAAGGAGTACCCCAGCAAAGAGCCAATCTGCAGAGACAAGTAGTTGTCTTATTTTTGGGTTTTGGTGTTTTGCTTTTTTTTTTTTTGCTTCTTTCTTTATGCTGTTTTTTTGTTTTTGTTTGTTTGAGCTCCTGGCATTCAAGGAAATATCAGTCAAAACATCAGCTGAATACAAGTTAAAGGAACAGAGACTTCAGTAATCACACATCACCAGAAACAGTCTTTGCAAAAATAATTTAGAAAAAGTCTCAAAACAGCCTTAGACAGTCAAAACAAAAAGAAAAAACCACCAGCAAGCCCTACGAAATGGGGAGAATGAGCCAGCCCGTGGCTCACTTGGGAGAGTGTGGTGCTGACAACACCAAGTCAAGGGTTAAGATCCCCTTACTGATCATCTTTAAAAAAAAAAAAAGAAAGAAAGAAAAAAAGAAATGGGGAGAATCTGATTTCCAAAGCTGCCACCTTACAATATTCAAATGCCCAATTTTCAACCAAAAAAAAATCAAAAAGTATACAAAGAAACAAGAAAGCATGGCCCACGCAACGAAACAAAAGAAAACAACAGAAACAATACCTGAAGAAGCTCAGACATCAGACTTATTAGTCAAAGACTTTAAAACAACTGTCCTAAATATGCTCAAAGAGCTAAATGATAATATGGACGAAAGGCTAAAAGAAATCAGGAAAACACGGGGCCAGCCCGGTGGCGCACTGCTACAGTGCTCCCACCGAGAGTTCGGATCCCACATACAGACCGGTTCCCGCTCACTGGCTGAGCGAGGTGCAGGCGCGACACCGAGGGTTGCGATCCCGTTGCCGGACACGAAAAAAGACAAAAAAAAAAAAAAAAGAAATCAGGAAAACAATGTATAAGCAAAATGAGAATATCGACAAAGAGATACAAATTATACAGAGAAACCAAACAAACTCTGGAGCTGAAAAGTACAATATACCTGAAATGAAAAATTCACTAGGGGGGTTCAACAGCAGATTTGAGCAGGTAGAAGAAAGAATCAGCAAACTTGGGCCGGCCAAGAAATCAAATCACTCGGGAGAGTGCGGTGCTGATAACACCAAGGCCCCGGGTTCGGATCCCATATAGGGATGGCCGGTTCGCTCACTGGCTGAGCGTGGTGCTGATCCCCTTACCGGTCATCTTTAAAAAAAAAAAAAAAAAAAAAAAAATCAGCAAACTTGAAGCTAGTACAATTTAAATTATAAAGTCTGGGCTGGCCTGGGGCTCACTCAGGAGAGTGTGATGCTGATAACACCAAGGCCACAGGTTCAGATTCCATATAGGGATGGTCAGTTAGCTCACTGGGTGAGCGTGGTGCTGACAACACCAAGTCAAGGGTTAAGATCCCCTTACTGGTCATCTTTTAAAAAAATTTTTTTAAATAAAAATAAAAATAAATAAATTATCAAGTCTGAGGAGCTGAAAGAAAAAGAATGAAGAAAAGTGAATAGAGCCTGAGACCTGGGGGACATCAAGTGGGCCAACATACTTACCATGGGAGTTTCAGGAGGAGAGGACAGAGAGAGAGAGAAAAGGGGATTATTTGATTATTGAGAGATTATTTGATGAAAGCTATGAATTTACAAATCCAAGAAGCCCATGAACTACAAGTTGGATAAACTCACACCAAGACACATTATGAAAGAATCTTTTTTTGTTGGTTTTTTTTTTTTTGGGGGGGGGTGGCATATAGCTGGGAGCTGGCCAGTTTAGGGATCCAAATCCTTGACTTTGGTGTCATTGTGAAAGAATTTTGAAAGCAGCAAGAGAGAAGCAACCTATCACAGATGAGAAATCCTCGGTAAGATTATCAGCCAATTTCTCATCAGAAACCTTGGAAGCCATGGGCTAGCCAGTTAGGTCAATTGGTTAGACCGTAGTGCTGATAATACCAAGGTCCAGGGTTTGATACCTGTATCAGACAGCCACCAAGAAAAAAAAGGACAGAAACCGTGGAGGCCAGAAAGCAGTGGGATGATAAATTAAATACTGGAAGGAAAACAAACTGCCAACCAAGAATTCTATATTTGGCAAAACTGTCCTTCAAAAAATGAGGGAAAACATCAAGACATTCTCAGATAAACAAAAGCTGAGGGAATTCATTACCATGAGACAGAACTTGCAAGAAATGCTAAAGGGAATCTTTCAGAATGAAGTGAAAAAAACCTAAATGGTAACTCAAAGCCATATTAAGAAATAAAGATCTCTGATAAAGGTAAATACAGGGCAATTATAAAAGTTAGTACTACTGTAATTTTGGTTTGTAACTCTGCTTTTTATTTTCTATATGATTTAAAGACAAATAGATTTATAAAAATGTAATCTGTGACATCAATAACAAAAAAAAGGAAAGAGAAAGAAATTGTATAGGAGTAGAATTTTTGTGTGCTACTGACTTTAAGTTGGTATAAATTAAAATTAGATT